GTATTAAGGCTTCGTCGACATATTTAGAATCTATTATTAATAATTCTAATAATCAACAACAAAATGATTATGATGAAGAAATGTTTCAAGATGCTGAAGAAGACAAAAAATGATTAAAAATTTTATAATAATTTTTATTACGAAAAATAAATATTTTGCCATTATGCTTTATTTGACACTTTTATTATCCTGCAGCAATACTCTTATTTTTAAACAATCATGTGATCTTGTCGTGGTGCTGCAAACGATCTTTAACTCTTTAACTGTTAGAGTTTATAAATAAGGAGATACCAGCACTTTTTCACCTATATAATTTGTCACACCGCGTCATACCCTTTGTTTTCCATTTTTACTATATATCCCAGATACTCGATATGAAAAATCCTATTTGTCACCTAATTGTCACCCGGATAATTTCGGTCCTAGTTCAATAATACTGGGCCAAGAAATCACGTGAGATGAAAAAGTATTTTTGAGTTAATGATAACTTTTAATTGATCATCCAACTTTGTCTGATCTATACTGATTCACCATCTAATTTTTTGAACTTTGATAAAAAAAAATTTTATTTTTCACAATTTAAAATAATGCTGAAGAAAATGTATGTTTATTTACGTAAAATATCTTCTTATTTGAGTTCTTTGCTTGATCCTACTTGATAATAATTTTATCCTGTTATAGTATACCAAAGAATGCACGTTCAAAAAGGGCATTACAAAAACGGGAACCAAAAATTGAAGAAAACGTAAAGAAAGCGATATTTATTCGAAGTAGTTCGACAAGTCAAATAGTTAATGAAGCCTTATCGGACCTAGTGAGTTATAAATTGTATTCCTTTTACTTTCGGTTTAATTTGTAGTCCAAGTATTGAAAATTTTTTAAATCAAAGTAATTTTTTTCCTTCCCTTTTCAAACTTTTCAACCTTCCTCCTTTTAAACGATAAAGTGTAAATTAAAAAAACCCGATGCGATAAATTTTACAAAGAAGAATAATATACATCCATTTGATGATGATACTTCATTAAATTTTTTCTGTGAAAAAAATGATACCTCGTTATTTGTAGTTGGTTCTCATACAAAAAAACGTCCAAATAATTTAACGTTTATTAGAATGTTCGATGGTCAGATACTTGACATGATCGAAGTTGGTATTGAAAATGCTAAATCATTAAAAGAATTCAAGGTGCGTAAAATAAATAAATTAATGTATAAATATATCTTTCTCTTGTTTAATCAATCAATCAAGGACACTAATACAAATAATATATATATATATATATATTCATCTAGACCTCAAAATGTGCCATAGGAATGAAACCATTATTCTTATTTAATGGTGATTTATTTGAAAATTCTCACGTACATAAAACCTTTAAAAATATATTATTAGATTTTTATCGTGGTGAAGCCGTTAAAAATATTAATTTATCAGGATTAGAACATATCATTTCTGTTACGGCTATTAATTCTACTTTGGAACAATCAAATGATTCTAGAGCCATGCCAGGATTAATTTATTTTAAAGTATATGCTATAAAGTTAAAAAAATCTGGTGAAAAAACTCCT